TGCCCCCACCCCAAAGGCGCCAAAGGCACCCGGTCCCGGAGCAGCCACGCGCGGCCCGTGAGCCTCGCCACCAGCGGGGGCTCGGAGGAGGAGGACAAAGACGGTGGGGTGCTGTTCCACGTGAACAAGAGCGGCTTCCCCATGGACAGCCACACCTGGGAACGCATGTGGATGCACGTGGCCAAAGTGCACCCCAAGGGAGGAGAGATGGTGGGGGCCATCAGGAACGCGGCCTTCCTGGCAAAGGTCAGTGCTTAGAGGAAAGATGGGCGATGTGGGACCCCCTCGCCGGCGCCCCCTGCCCACCCCTCCCAGTTTGCTCCGGAAGCCCTGGAAGTGGGGGCGGGGCGGGCACGGAGCTTGATGTCCTGCACCCCACATGGTCTGGCTGTGCCAAGGTTTTGCCAAACTCCATTATTTTCTCAACCCCATCTGCATGCCTCCTGCTGCAAAAGCTGGGGCCGCAGGTGATCCGGTAAGGCCAAGAATGGGTGGACCCTCCAGGAACCCCATCCTGCTTGTCCCCCTTGGAATCTCTTGCTCCTCTCCGGCCTCCCTAGCAAATGATTTATTAAGCTGTGAATGAATTCGCCTTCAACCAGTCAGACTTCTCAGTGTGAATCATTTCTAGACTTTTTGCCAATTTTTCCGGCAGTGACTTTCACCTCTGAAACTTGCAAAAACAGTGAACTGTCACTTCCCAGCTTATCTGGGCTCCAAGGAAAGAAAAAAAAAAAAGGAAGTTTTGGCTGTGGTTTAAAAGGGACTTTCCAGTACACATGATGAATTAGTCCCAGGGTGAAAGAGGAGGCTCCAGAGGAGCAAAGCTCTTTTTACTTTGGAGAGAAGCCAGCAAGCGGATTGGGCTAGGCCCCTGAGGGTGTCATTGCGGGGAGGGACAGCTCTGGTGGGAGTAACTGCATTAAATAAAATGCCAGGATGCACTGGAGAGAGCTGCCTGGCGGAGGAGGATGGTGTCCCCTGGGCGCTGGCAACACTGGCACGGCTCAGAAGATTCCTGGGTTGGTCTAGGAATGCCACACCGGAGACCTGGAAAGCCATCTGCTAGAGTCCCCAGCCTGGTGATAGCTGAGCATCTGAGCCGCAGCAGCCTGCAAGGCTGTGTGCCCTTGGGGAAGTGACAGATCCTCTATAAACTTCCCGCTACGCTTCTCGTTACAGGGTTTTATTACCCTGCTAGCCAAGGAAAGCGTCATTAGGCTGCCCGAAGCCTGTCCACTTGAATGTCAGCCCTAATGACCCACAGCCAGTCTTCCTGCAACACTGACTGCCCTTTTTCTGGGGTGCAGAATCTTTATTTACATGAGGAGCCGAGCCCTCACATCTGGAGGGGGTGGCAACAGGGAACGGAGGCCTGACGCCTGGTTTCCTGCTGACTTTATGCCTCCCAGTCTAATTGAGTCCTTGTGTGCCCCCCTCTCCTTTCGGGGGAGACTGTGGACTCAGTATTGGTAAGACAGTCTCCTGCCTCCTAGCTGCATCCCCTGTCTTTCTGCAGGCCTGGGAATGTGGGAGGGCTCCCTGCCTTGAGAGGCGGGTTTGGGCGGCACAGCTCTAGGCGTGGAGAAGCTCTTGTCTTCCCCCACCCTGCAGCCACATCGTGCCTGGGGCTTTCTTTGCCCTTTGAATCAAGACGGTGTGTCCACTTCCTTGGCTCCTCACAGCAACCTTGGGTGCTGACAGACTGTTCTTACAGTAGGAGGGACCTGGAACAACGCAGGGACTGAATTTTAGCCCTGCTTGCTCTACTTCTCTGTGGCCAGCTCACTCACTGCAGATCAGAGGCCTTACTTTTCTTTATAAAATGGGAATAGACCAAATTTTGTGCACTATTCTTTCCAACTCTAAAATCCTATGATGTCCTGACGCCCCCGCAGTCTGAGTTTCTCGAATTGATCTATGTCACTAGGGGCCCTCGAAACTGACGTTCCCCAGCTTCTGTGAGCCTTCTCTGTTCTCAGCTGGTGCCTTTTATCTTTCCTTATGTGTCATGGTTCCCAGACCAGCTCAGTCTCCTTGTCCTCTTCTTAGGACAGTTGCTGGTTTGTCATCGGTCACTGCCCCAAAATGCGCACATGAAACAGTATTCTCAGCGAGTGGCTCAGAACGTAGATTTCTCCTTCCCGCGTCCTGGAGCTGACGCTTTCAGGGAGCCCAGTGCCGTGTCCCTCCTTCAGTGTGGCAGCCACATCGCACTGTACTCTCCCGGTGGCCAGAAGGTCACGTAAAGACAGCTGCCTGGCCAGGAGCTCAGCACTGCTCCCTCCTCTACACCCCCCTGCCGTCCCCAGTGCCCCTGGACCTGGCTTCCTCACAGCCTGCCCCTGCCCATTCCGGACACATGGCCCCAGCGGTCCCCGTGCAGGGGCCGCTCCTCTCTGACACGGGCTCGAGCTACACTCACAAGTCCTTTTCTTCTTCCGTTGGCCCGGGTCCTGCGGAGCCTTTTACAGAAGAGGCTGCTGGGCTGGGGCGGAGGACCGGGGCAGTTGTTCATTGAGTGCGGACCGAGAAGGCACAGGGGAAGGTTTCGAGAGTGAGGACGGGACACCCGTTAGCTGTGGTGGGTTCTGCTGCAGGTCCAGATGTGTACGGGGGCGGGGACAGGAGGGTTCCCCTACCCCAAATTTGTGACGACAGGGTCTGCTGTGGAGTTCCTGAGACTGAAGTTAGCACTCGCCTGGTCAAGTCCAGGGCTTTTCAGGGATTGCTAAGAAAACAGCAAAAATCTTTGGAGGAGAACAAAGAACGGGCTGGGAAGGGAAGGCTGGGAAACCTCCCCGAAGCAGACTTGGCAGGAAACCTGGGTGGATTCGGCAGGAAAGATCAGCTGGCTTCTTGCAGAGCCACACAGGTTTGTGTCTTTCTCATGTTGGTTCCAGGGTGGAAAAGGGTTCACTTCCAGGGGTGTGAGCTTTGTCCAATGGAGAGCAAAGAGCTGTGGGTATGTTAGGTGTGGTGCACGCCTGTCATCCCAGGACTCTGGGAGGCTGAAGCAGGAGGGTGGCAAGTCAAGCCCACCTGGGCAGCTTAGCTCCTTAGTGAGATTCTATCCCAAAACTGAAAGTAAAAAGGGCTGGGGATGTAGCTCAGTGTGAAGACCTTGGATTCAATCCTCAATGCTGAAAACAAAAAAGGAAGAAAGAAATAGAGAACAGAGAAAGTGTGAAGTGCTTGGGCTTCGGGTTCGGCTGCAGGCAGGTGTCTGGTTTTCACCTCTGCCCAGGCTCTTGCTGTCTGCCGTGTCCCTCGCACCCTCAGATTGGTCACTCAGGCTTGGCAAGAGCACAGTGGGCCAGGGACCAACCTCTGTGGCCTCACACTTCTCCCTCCTAAACAGCCCTCTCCCCACGGCTCCACTTTGCCCTGGTCCTCTTCCCTCCCCGAGCCACCTCGTGCCACCCCGGTCTCCAGGGAGCCATCAGTTCTGCCCACTCCCTCTAGATTCTGCCCTGCTGGGGAGGGACTTAGTGGCAGGAAGTGAGAGTCTCACGGGGTCCAGGTTGTAATTCCAGGCCAGAGGCTCCGGCAGAACCACAGTCGGAAAATTTATACCAATTTAGGCCCACCAGAGCTGTATGCAAGCATCCTGGCCAACACTAGGGATCTGTGGTTCAGAACGTCTGCTAACTGGAGAGTCAGAGTAACGTTTTTCAGTGACTTTCTCCTTTTTTGGTGGTGGTACGGGGGATGGAGCCCAGGGCCTTCACTCTGAGCTGGATCCCAGCCCTTTTCTCAAACTTGCCATCCTCCTGCCTCAGCCTTCCAGAGTCCTGGGATTACAGGTTTGTGCCAACACATCTGGCATTTCAGTGGCCTTAATTGGTACTTCTTAAATAGTTAGTGAGCTTTGCACTTGGGGGTGGTACTGGGGGTCGAACTCCAGTCCTTGTGAGGCAGGCAGCAGAACCACTGGGCTAACTCCCTGGCCCCAGTAAGCTTTGAATTTTGTCTGATATTTATCTCAAACATTTGTTCACTATTTGTATTTCTTCTTTTGTGAATTGTCTTTTTGTGGTCTTTTTATTGTGGTGAAATATACATAACAAATAATTTGCCATTTTAGCCTTTTTCAAACGTCCGGTTCTGTGGCAGTAAACACATCCATATCGCCCCTTTATCACCATGGTTCATTTCAAAACTTCATGTTCCTCTGCTGACGCGTGTGCTCCTTAAGTACCAACACCCAACCCCTGCCCACAGCAACCACTCTCTACTTGGTCTCTGTCAATCTGACAGCTCAAGGAGCCTCAGATAAGAGGAATCACATGATAGTTGTCCTTTTGTGACTGGCTTATTTCACATAGCTAAATGTCTTCACAGTTCATCTATCTTGGAGCATATGCCAAACTTTTATAAAGCTGAATAATATTCCACTAAATGGATGTACCACACTTCGTTTATTTCATCCACGCATAGATGCATGGGTAGTTTCTACCTTTGAGGGCCATTTTTTAAATTGAGCCTTCAGGAGTTATCACTTTGTGTGACCTCTTCATGAATTAAAGATATTAACTCACTGTCGCATGGGACAGTGGATGTTTTCATGCTCCTTATTAGAGTGAGAAGGTATCTTCAGGATGTCCTGATTATGGGCTTCTTTGACTTTGTGCCCCTGAGAACATGTTGCTGATGACTCTAAGCCCCAGGCCCTGCTCTGCTGACTTGCTGGCTGGTGCCCTTGGAAGCAGGTGAGGGTCGTGTTTCATCAGGGACATTAGGCTGCCTGACTACAGCCAGCAGGTGATGGGGTAGGGTTTGAATCTGGGGCCCACAGAGCTGGATGCTGGGGGTCTCTAGTCTAAACACCCCAGGGAGCCCTGGTGTCTCATCTAAGTGCGGAGGGATCAGGAAGCTGGCCCCTGCTGGGGCCCCAGCAGCTCCGCTGGTCTCCAGGCTGGTCTCCAGGCGGGGTTTGCAGGTGACATCATGTTGGTGTCTTCTTCCCCACACCCCTGCTCCCTGGGGATTGGAACCTGCATGCATTTGTCCCACCTGCTGGGACCAAAGTGGCCGCAGCTCCAGCACAGCTGGCTGAGGTAACTGTGCAGCTGTTTCTAAAAGCCTTTGGGTGCCACGGGGGCAGGGCGGCTCTTCCGAGCCCCAGCTGCTGCCTGGCTCCTACCCTGCTGCTCTGCTACATGCGCTCTGTGGAACCTACAGCGAGTTGAAACAATGCGGTGGTCGCAGAGGACCGTGACCCGGGAAAGATTTGTTCCCCTGCTAGTGCTGCTCAGCAGAAACACAAGGGTCCCTGGTTTTGTTTCTGAGATGGGTCTCACTGTGTCATCCAGGCTGACCTAGAACTCCTCTTTCACAGGATCCTCCTGCTTCAGCCTCCCAATTAATGAGCTGGGACCACAGGTGTGCACCACTGTGCCCAGCGCACCTTTTAGTGTGTGTGTGTGTGTGTGTGTGTTTAAACTGGAACATTTTGCGTCCGTGAATGACTCCCAGGAGGAAATATGATTTCTGTGAGTGGATGTGTTGTATCAAAAACGTAGTCCGCAGAACAGTTGTGTCTGCCTGTGTGCCCACACAGCCACGTGCACTTCACACACACAGTGCCTTGGGTGTCACGTAGGAAGTGTGACTGGCTTCCCTCAGCAGTGGGGGCAGGTGCTGTGAAGTGTGGTGTCTCAGAGCCAAGACAGACCGGAGGAACTGAGTGGGAGAGAGCAGCAAGGAGTGGCGGTGAGTTAGCGAAGGGTGGCACTGGGAGAGTCCACGCCCCGTGGACAGCCAGGGGGAGGCAGGGGCGTCACTGGCAGTCCCTGGCTCTGCCACCCCGGGCTGTCCCCAGATCCACTTACCAGCAGCTTCCTTTTCTGTCTCTGAGCCCCAAATCCCCAGAGCTGCCCTCCCTTCCTTCTGGGATGGAGCTAATCTTTCCTTTAGCCTTTTCTGCTTCTCCCTAAGAGAATGAACCCTGGAGGAGGCTCCTGTCACCTTCCCAGGCCCATGGGGGCTGAGTTTCTCTGACCAGTGACCCCGCCCCACCAGGCAGGCAGAGAGGTCAGGAGACCCAGGCACGTGTAGGTATTTTGCAATAAAGCAAAACCAAACCAAAACAATGAAAATCCAAGCCAGAAAACCCAGCGTACAGACAACAAAACCATGCCCAGCTGGCGTCCCTCACCTTCCAGGAGGGGCCTGAGTGGTGTCCCCTGCTTATTCCCACACCTGGCCCCACAGGCAGGGTTGATCAGAGTCCTAAATTCCGAGGAGATGGTGCTCTCCTCCCCTTGCCTGCCTGGGGTCCTTTGTCCTCCCAGCAGGGAGAAGTCCACTGCTCAGTTGTGGAGACTTAAGCAAGAGACAGAGGAAGTAGTTGACAGGCAACTGACTGTCAGGGCTAGGAGTGCAGGCTCAGGAGTCCGGAGCTGCTCCGTGGGTCAGACAGGCAGGGTGGAGGAGGCAAGTGGATTAGAAAGGGACTCAGGAAGGTGAGCTGGGCTTTGCTGGGAGGGAGGGATTGAGACGCAGCGCCCACAGCGCCCTGCTGCAGCGATCTAGCGCACGCTGTATTCTGCGTGCAAGGTACCCGCGTTGGCCAGGCAGCAGGAGGTGTCACACAGTGAAAACGGGCAAGAGTGGAGCACTTGTGTGTCAGTCCTGCGCTCTTAGGCTTCGGTGGAGGGGACCAGCCGCTCTACACTCGTCACCCCGAGGGGAACCACCGTGGCCAGAGTACAGCCCGCTCTGCAGTGGGAGAAGCACCACTGCTCTGCTCTGGGGAGGCGCCACTGGGACAGGTGGCCGTGCCAACATGGCCCTCTGCACTCAGGAGCTCTCCGGTGATTTCAGCCTGGGCTGAACAGATCCCTGTCTCTTTCTCTGCAGCCTTCAGTACCCCAGGTCCCAAACTACAGGCTGTCCATGACGATCCCAGACTGGCTCCAGGCGATCCAGAATTACATGAAGACACTACAGTATCCTTCTGGCCCGGGGGCGGGGATGGGGACTGCATGCCTGGTGGCACTGGTGTCCCCAGCTGGTTCCCCAGCGCTCTCTGAGGTCAGGCAGGGAGGGACGCCCCATGTGAGAAGAATGATGGCTCAAAGTGGGGCCTCAGTGACCAGGCCTTGTCCCTCCAGGCAGGGACAGCAGCAGGGTCTACCTGAGCCTGTCAGTCTTCCCTTCCTCCCTTTCCCTGCGCTTTGCTGTCTCCAGGGATCCGCTCTTCCTCCGCCTTCCTCCCCTTCCCACTTCCCTTTGCCCATCTTGGTGCTGCCCTGCTTCTCACCTGTACGGGATGCCTGTCTTCCCTCTTCTTTCCAGTTCTTTTGTTCCCGGTTTCCTCTCACGTTTGCTTTTATCGCTGGCCATTCATGATCTCCAGGGACCCATCTGGGCTTCCACAGCCACCAGGCTGGTGACCTTGGTCCGGCTCTGCGTGGCCAGTGGGTGTGAGAGGGTCCTCTTCCCACTTGGCCCTGTGCAGGACTTGCCTCGGAGCCCCGTGGGTCCAGGCTGAGATCAGACCAGCCACACCTTGGGTCCCTTTGTCCTCGAGAGTTCTCAGGCTGTTTGTAGCCAAGACTAGATTGGCCCTGAGGGCTCACCCCTTGCGGTGTCTTTGCTGGGCTGGAGTCCCTGGGGAGCCTCAGCACCCCAGGACTCTGCTCTGCCTCCTAAACATAGGAAATGCAGCCCCCGACACACCGGCCCCCTCTCTGTCCAGGGTCTGACACCAGCCTCGAGACTGGGACCTGTCCAGCAGAGCCAGTCCTTTCTGTCACAGGGAAGAACCTTTCAGTGGACTTCAGTGTGTCTCTTGTGGGGACCAAACGCCAGCACCACCTCCACAAGGCCGGGTGTTGCGGGGCTTTAGGGGGGACACCAGCTTCTGCTCGTTCGGGTGGAGATGCTTGATTAGCTCTCTGTTCCCGAAGAATGGACCATCTGCTCTCTGCACGGCCCCTCCCGGGTAGAAATGGGACGCTGTGAGGGCAGGAGGAGGCACACATAAGATTAGGGGTTGGGCCTGACCCTCAAACCCGCACCCCATATAGGAGTTCCTTGGGGTCCAGAGACCCAAACCTCCTGTGCAGCAAGAAGACTGGGTCCCCGAGAGCTGGCCCTTTTACGTTCCAGGAGGTGACCAATTAGACAGGCTCCCTCCTCCTCTAGGACCCAGTCTTCCCAAGGTCTCTGGGCCAGAGATGGGAATGACTGGAGGGTGTGGGTGGGGAAGATTGGCAGGAGCTGCCGGATGCCCTGCAGCACATCGCTGCCCCGGGGGTGTGCTCCAACCCATTCTGGTGGTCACTGCGAGCCTGCAGACTGCAGGAGCTGTTCCCCGTGGGCTACCTCCAGAGAAGGCAGAGCATCCTCTCTTTCTCTGCCTTCCGGCCTGGAGTTAGTTCCTTTCTTGGGACCCCCGATCCTTTGTCCTGAACACAGTGACAGGTGTCGGGGTGGGGACAGGCAGACCCAACCACAGATGTGCTCAGTTGTCAGAGGATGAGGTCTGGAAAGGTCGGGGCCACCCAAGCCCTGCGGGATGGCGAGGGGCCCTCAGCCTGGTGGAGGTCTTGCCGGGCAGGGGAAGCCTGAGGAAGGTGCTTTTCACCCACTCCCTTCCAGGGGTCCATTATGTTCTATAAAAATGAGAGGTCATTTGAAACTATTTAGTTACAGGTTTCTCTTCCTTTATGAACTCCATGTATAAATTAAATGTCTAAGTGGGGAAAGCTGGGCCTAGAAGTGAAGTTTTGCTAATCGAATTGTACTTTCAATGTGCAGGGACTCTACTGTTTGAGGAAAATCTTTGGTAAAGAAAATCACTTCACAGTGAGAATATTTAGTTCCTCATTTTCCTCTGCTCAAGATTTTGTAGGTTGTGCCTTAGGAATTTCAGGCATCTGTGTTTCAGTGGTTATGATAGCCCAGGCGTTAACCGTGGTCCTGTCCCCAGAACCTGTGGTTCATTTGTGTGGAGTGGGGGATTCTGAGTGTCCCCATCCACCGCCTGAAATCAGAGCCTCCAGGAAAGGTTCTGAGACTGCTTTTGAGCTCTGCCGATGGTTGTTAGGTGTCCGCATGTCTGCCTGGCCAAGCGCATCTGGGCCGCTAGGGGACCCCAGCCACTCTGGAGGACGTGGAGCGCCTCCCCATAGCTGCTCTGTCACGGCAGGCACACTGCACACCTCAGGTGCCCGCCGTTTACCATCCTCCCAGCAGGCACTTTTTAAAGAAACAATTTTGTTTGAGGCTGACGAGGAAAATACACAAAGCAGCTTTTCTCTAGGCTGAGAATAATCAAGAGCCAGTCTCAGAAAGCCTTTGGTCTCCGGAATGACCTGCAGCAGCCTTGCCGTCCCTGAGACCTGAGCAGTCAGATTCCAAACGTGGAGAATGGCACCCTCTCTTCAGGGTTCATAATCGGCGTCCAGCGCCATCACGAAAAGAAGGTGATGTTTCCACAGTAAACTCTGCTGCAGTCTGTGTGCTACTGAAAACCTGGCCGCTCGTCCAGGTTCTGTTCCTTGCAGCCATCTCTGTCGGTCCTTCCATTCCGTCCTGCCGTCTGCTCATCTCTCCATCCATGCATCCGTCCGGTGTTCCATCCACCTGCCCATTTACCTACCAGTGTGTCCGGCCCATCGTTCATTCACTTCCTCATTCATTTAATATTTGCTAACTTGCATGTGTTGGGCCTCTGCCAAGCTTTATGGGGGTATAAAAATGATTCTTAAAAAACGGCCCCAATTCTCAAAGGACTTGTAGTCTGGTATGTAAAGTCAGACATATATTCAACCGACCAGAACAGATTAAAAGGAGCTGTTATTAAAGTTTGAGGTGCCTTGGGGCCTAACTAAGAATTCTATTTCCAGGGCAGAGAGGTGAGGAATTAGTGGCTGTTAGCTACCTGTAGCCATGGGCCACTTCTGAAAAGCCCCAGCCTTCTAATCCCACTGAGAAATCAGAATGCATATTTTCCTCTGCGGATGACTGGGACATTTGGACTTTTCCGTCACTTTCCCTTTACAAACTTCACACAGATATAATCACACGGGGACCCAGTTCTTTGAAATTAGGAAAATGAGACCACTGAGCGGGTAAGTGGTGCATGAGCAGTGGGCTGGATTCTCTCTCTCACCTGAGCTGCCATTCGGCTCTTCCAACCTGTGTTCCCTGAATCTCAGTGCCTGGACATCCTAGAGTGCAGGGCCCAGGGCCCAGCTGGAGGGGGACCGAGGACTGGGCCACTCGGACAGCCACCTATGGTGGTGAAGAAGAGTAACCCCGGCAGCAGGAGGATTGTGTAGGGTGTCGGTGCCAACCTCCGGGCACTAACTCTTGGGAAGGGGAGGGAGGCGGACGTGGGACCTCAGTTCTGCTCGGTGCACCGTGCTTTGAGGCCTTCCCTGAGTTCCCGCATGGTGCCTGTGCGGAAGATGCATGCTGACGGACTGACAGACAGACTGCACAACTGCATGGCCCCTGAGATCCTCTGTTGTGCTCTGTCCTGCAGGTTAATGGAAACAGCAAAGGAAATGACCCGAGAGTCCTTACCTATCAAATGCCTTGAAGCCGTCATCCTGGGCATGTATCCTTGAAGTCCTGTGAGCTTCAGCTACTGCATCTGTGGGACTTTTAACACCCCACATTCACATTTACATTGTGAACTCCCTTTGTGCTTCTCTTTAACTTTCCCCGTTGAGAGTTGGACCAAACCAGTTGTCTCCTTGGACCAATGTCAGTCCAAGGCTGTTAGCTGCGGCCTCCACCAGGGCCAGCTCCCAGTCCCGTGACCCGCAGTCTCTCATCTCCAGGAGAATGCTAACTTAGAGGAACTAAAGGGAGACGAAGGCGTGGAAAGACACTCGGGGAAGTGGAACCAGGGCGAAGAGGTAGCATCCAAACCCCTCTCCAAGGAAAATAGAGCAGGTGGTGGCGGAGACCCGGCCTTGTCAGTGTGTCCTGACTTGGTGAACACAGCTGACACAGGGTCTGCTCCCTTTCATACCTTTCTGTTGCATTTCCCAGCACGCTCTTGACTGTTCAACCTGAAATGTGTCTACACATTTCAAAACACATCTTGAGGGCTGGGGATTTAGCTCGGTGGCTCCAGTGCCTACCTCGCAAGCGCAAGGACCAGAGTTTGGTCCCCAGTACTGCGGAAAAAAAAAAAATTTTTTTTTAAAAACCTACATCTTGAATGTTTATATTTAAAAAACATATTGCAATAGGGCCAGGGATTTAGCTTAGTGGTTCTGCCAGCTGCCTCGCAAGCACAAGGACCCAAGTTTGATCCCCAGTA